CTATTTGGAACACAAAAATATCGAAAATCTGTGAACTTTTACCAGAAGCTCGCTATTTTTTCTTAATAGTTTCGATTGTGACCATGTTCAAGGGCTAGTTCCACTCAAATACATTTTTGAGTCTCCAAATTGACTTTAATCAATATTTATAACGACTTAGCATGGCATACAATTCATTAGAATGCATTTAAAACGATTTAAAATTATTTTGTACTCGGATAATTCCATCGATAAAATGCTTGAGAGTTGAAAAGTACCTTGAGTGCCTGGCCACTTTTCGACCCTTAAATGTTGTCGAATCACTGCGAAACCATTTCCATTCGATTCCCCGTTGAAAATTAGCTGGAAAATGTTGTATTTTCATTGTTGATCGGATGGTCCATCCATGAAATATGGTACATCTTCCGAACCAATCCGGACCCTTCGCTGAAAATTGCTGGAAATCGCTGAAAATAGCATATTTGGATGAAAATGATTACCTCATATGGGAAATTATGAAAAATCTGTAAAGGCCAGAATGTTTGTATGGTCCTGGGCTATAACTGGCCGCTCGCTTGCCCTAGTAATTTTGAGTTTTGGTATGGGTTCTAAGCAACTGTTTCATTTTTTCGAGGAAAAAAAATCGATACCTCTCAAAATCTTCAATAAAAATTGTGTTTGACCCAGTGTGTCCATAACATATAGAAATAGCACTAAATAGTGTCGATATCTATACTATATTGGTCCACTATATATGTAAGATATTCCGCAAGACACCGTAGCTCACGATAGAAGTGAGTGCGGACGGCAAACATGTTGACGCATACACACAGTTCTTTCTACTGCCGCATGGCAATTTGTGATTTTTTCCGTCTACACTGGCTTCGATCGTGCGATACGGTGCCGTGCGGCAATATCTTTCATATATAGTGGACCGATATAGTATAGATATCGACACTATTTAGTGATATTTCTATATATTATGGACACACTGGTTTGACCTTTGAAAAATTGTTTGAAAATGAACCATTTCTACCTAATTTTTCACGAGGAATCGATTAAGTGCCATAAAAAATCGATCCGAATGCATATAGACCCTCTAAAATTGACTTTTAAAAAAATGCACCGTGTTTTTTTCAAAAATACCGCGCAGGGTCCGAAATTCAAAACCGGAAAAAGTGCCAGATGCAAAGTTGCTTATTTTTCAGTAAAAAATGATATGAGATTGGTTCGGAGCAAGTTCCTATCGAAATTACCAATCGCACCACCCTAATATATATTCCGGCGATAATTCGGTATATTTCAATTACTTGTGACATTGAGTACAGTTCCACTTTGACGTAGACTTCTATTTTAGTATTTTTTTACTTCAAAATTCAAACTCATATACAAAATATTGAGTCTAGAGGATCGTTTACCTGCGGATTAGGATGAATTTTATTGACCATAGTTGAGAACAAAGAAAAGAAAATACTCACACAGCATTTATATTCATATTTCTTGGCATATATAACGAATGGACAATTTGTATTTATTTAGTGCACCAACATTGATGTCTTTAAGTTGTCCGAGTAAAATGACAACATTGAATAAGATCCTGAAACAAAAAGAGGTTCGATGTTACCTTCTAAATAATCTCTGAAACAAAGAATAATAATAAAAGAGTACATTGTAAGCGTCCCGAGAAATATGGCTTCTTTTATCTCTTGTCATTCTCTTTCCAACAATAACAACTTTGGCTTCGGCTCGATATCTCTTCAAGACTCGAAGGTAATCAAGAATGAGATGGAAAATGAAAAAAGCAAAAAAAAACTGAGAGCAGTAAACTTATTTCACTTTACTCGTCAAAACAATAATCAACTTCTTTCTCGAAATATGTTTGGTTTCAGTTTTTTACCCCGTATTAGGAAATGTTATCTTTTAATCCAACATACTGGTCAATGCCGTTGTATTTTTGCTTCTCAATTACTTTGAGAGAAATTGAGAATTGAAAGATCTGCTTGTTTTATTTAATAGATTAAATTTATTTCGATCGATGTTGATACAGTAAATAAACCTATATTTAATTATAATGATCAATTGAGATTAAATGAGAAATTAAAGTGCTAATTTAATGAGAAATTCTGTATGTTAATGTTATGGCTCATAAAGTATGCAGCAAAATATTATTTGTGGAAAAAATATAGATGTATTCGAATTTGTTCGTTTCATCTCGATAAAATTTGCTATAGTTTTTGATATCTGCCATTCGTTTCCGAAGCGTACACGTAAATCATCTAATTTATTTTCATCTTTTAATCTGAATTTAAATCTTTTCAACAATTTGAATTCAGTCAAGCAATCGCACACCTCTTCGAATGAATATTCATCATAAAAGTCTATTATCTTTAATGCTGGTAATACACTTGCAATTTTCTTTACATTCATCTCATCTATGTACATATAACTCCAAAATCTTAAAGTATCAATTGTTGGATGGTTGCTGATAAATTTGAAGAGTTCATCGCTGTATCGATAAATTGTGCGAATCTCTAAACTTTTCAGTCGATCGGATGAAAATGGAATTTTGGGAAATAATTCATCTCCCTTTAGTTTCAAATTAATATCGAAATAATTCAAACTTTTAAAATGAATTGTATCCCCTTCGTAGTATAGATCTTCCTTGGAGTTTACATATATTTTGAGACTAGCAAGTGATTGTAAATACTTGCTCAAGTCTGCAAGTAGCTGCATATTCAATCCTGACCCCAAGTGCACTTCGAAATATTTCAATTGTGGATTCAATCGGCAGACTGTCTCAATGGATTTTGAGCATGAATTGCTCCGTTTTCCATGTGAAACTTCAATTGTCAGATTCATTAATTTTGGCATATGTTTTTCGATATCTATAAAATTACCATTGACAGCTTTGTAACGTAATAATTCCATATTTGGAAAAAGCCAATCGATACTGTTTGGTCCCAAGCTACAACCCTCCAAAAAAATGCATACAACCTTTGAAAATGGTTTCTGGAATTTATTCAAAATTGTTATACCTTTAATACCGATACTCCACATATTAATGCAGTAATCGTTTACGTTATTTAAAATTAAATCGTAAAATTTGCTGTTAACTAAACCCTTTTTCTTTGTTGAGTCGATATCAATATATATGCTCCTCACCAAGTGTCCAAAGTGGCGCACTATTTGAAAACAAGTTTTTAAGTTAACTCTTGAATCAGTAACTCTACCAAAGAGAAACGATACGAGAATAGAAGTGTTGCCAGAGAAGGTTATATAAAGCACTGAAAAATCGATTTTATATTTTCTCACAAAGGCCTGCTCAGCAACACTTTTTAAATATTTGTTGGTATCAGCAACATTCAAGAGATTTTTCAAATCCAAATACAATAAAATATGCTCCAAACAATCAGAATTCAGATCG